CCTAACTACAATACCTACAGTGGGGAAAAAAAGTTATCCCACTTAAAAAGATGAGAGAGGCCTGTAATTTTCATCATAGGTACACGTCAACTATGACAGACAAATTGAGAATTTCTTTTCTAGAAAATCACATTGTCGGATTTTTAATGAATTTATTTGCAAATTATGGTGGAAAATAAGTATTTGGTCACCTACAAACAAGCAAGATTTCTGGCTCTCACAGACCTGTAACTTCTTTTTTAAGAGGCTCCTCTGTCCTCCACTCGTTACCTGTATTAATGCCACCTGTTTGAACTTGTTATCAGTATAAAAGACACCTGTCCACAACCTCAAACAGTCACACTCCAAACTCCACTATGGCCAAGACCAAAAAGCTGTCAAAGTACACCAGAAACAAAATTGTAGACCTGCACCAGGCTGGGAAGACTGAATCTGCAATAGGTAAGCAGCTTGGTTTGAATAAATCAACTGTGGGAGCAATTATTAGGAAATGGAAGACATACAAGACCACTGATAATCTCCCTCGATCTGGGGCTCCACGCAACATCTCACCCCGTGGGGTCAAAATGATCACAAGAACAGTGAGCAAAAATCCCAGAATTACACGGGGGGACCTAGTGAATGACCTGCAGAGAGCTGGGACCAAAGTAACAAAGCCTACCATCAGTAACACACTACGCCGCCAGGGACTCAAATCCTGCAGTGCCAGACGTGTCCCCCTGCTGAAGCCAGTACATGTCCAGGCCCGTCTGAAGTTTGCTAGAGTGCATTTGGATGATCCAGAAGAGGATTGGGAGAATGTCATATGGTCAGATGAAACCAAAATATAACTTTTTGGTAAAAACTCAACTCGTCGTGTTTGGAGGACAAAGAATGCTGAGTTGCATCCAAAGAACACCATACCTACTGTGAAGCATGGGGGTGGAAACATTATGCTTTGGGGCTGTTTTTCTGCAAAGGGACCAGGACAACTGATCCATGTAAAGGAAAGAATGAACGGGGCCATGTATCGTGAGATTTTGAGTGAAAACATCCTTCCATCAGCAAGGGCATTGAAGATGAAACGTGGCTGGGTCTTTCAGCATGACAATGATCCCAAACACACCGCCCGGGCAACGAAGGAGTGGCTTCGTAAGAAGCATTTCAAGGTCATGGAGTGGCCTAGCCAGTCTCCAGATCTCAACCCCATAGAAAATCTTTGGAGGGAGTTGAAAGTCCGTGTTGCCCAGCGACAGCCCCAAAACATCACTGCTCTAGAGGAGATCTGCATGGAGGAATGGGCCAAAATACCAGCAACAGTGTGTGAAAACCTTGTGAAGACTTACAGAAAACGTTTGACCTGTTTCATTTCCAACAAAGGGTATATAACAAAGTATTGAGAAACTTTTGTTATTGACCAAATACTTATTTTCCACCATAATTTGCAAATAAATTCATAACAAATCCTTTTTTTCTCTCAGTTTGTCTGTCATAGTTGACGTGTATCTATGATGAAAATTACAGGCCTCTCTCATCTTTTTAAGTGGGAGAACTTGCACAATTGGTGGCTGACTAAATACTTTTTTCCCCCACTGTACCTACAATCTTAATACATGGTTTAAGCTTTACTCGACACCATATAAGCCAAGCTTACCTCCCGCCAGAGAGAGACACTCTCTCTATTCACATCATTCTTAGCTAAGCTTGGCTTATATGACAAAACAAAAACAGGTTTTTAGACAGTTTTGCACATTTATTCAAAATTAAAAAACGTAAATATTACATTTACATAAGTATTCAGACCCTTTACTCAGTACTTTGTTGAAGCACCTTTGGCAGCGATTACAGCATTGAGTCTTCTTGGGTATGACGTTACAATCTTGACACACCTGTATTTTGGGGAGTTTCTCCCATTCTTCTCTGCAGATCCTCTCAAGCTCTGTCCGGTTGGATGGGGAGCGTTGCTGCACAGCTATTTTCAGGTCTCTCCAGAGATGTTCGATCAGGTTCAAGTCCAGGCTCTGGCTGGGTCACTCAAGGACATTCAGGGAGTTGTTCCGAAGCCACTCCTGCGTTGTCTTGGCTGTATGCTTAGGGTTGTAGTCCTGTTGGAAGGTGAACCTTCACCCCAGTCTGAGGTCCTTAGCGCTCTGGAGCAGGTTTTCATCGAGGATCTCTCTGTACTCTGCAGAGATGGTTGTCCTTCTGGAAGGTTCACCCATCTCCACAGAGGAACTCTAGAGCTCTGTCAGAATGACCATCGGGTTCTTGGTCACCTCTCTGACCAAGACCCTTCTCCCCCTATTGCTCAGATTGGCCCGGCGGCCAGATCTAGGAAGAGTCTTTGTGGTTCCAAACTTCTTCTATTTAAGAATGCTGGAGGCCACTGTGTTTTTGGGGACCTTCAATGCTGCATAAATGTTTTGGTACCCTTCCCCAGATCTGTGCCTCAACACAATCCTATCTCTAAGCTCGTCTGACAATTCCTTCGACCACATGGCTTGGTTTTTGCTCTGACATGCCCTATCAACTGTGGGACCTTATATAGACAGGTGTGTGCCTTACCAAATCATGTCCAATAAATTGAATTTACCACAGGTGGACTCCAATCAAGTTGTAGAAACATCTCAAGGATGATCAATGGAAACAGGATGCACCTGAGTTCAATTTCGAGTCTCATAGCAAAATGTCTGAATAGTTATGTAAATAAGGTATTTCTGTTTTGCTTTATTTCTAAAAACCTGTTTTCGCTTTGTCATTATGGGTATTGTATGTAGATTGCTAAGGATTTTATTTTATTTTATCCATTTTAGAATAGGGCTGTAACATAACAAAATGTGGAAAAAGTCAAGGGGTCTGAATATTTTCCAAAGGCACTGTATGGTGATATTATCATATCATTTTAGTAATTTAGCAGACGCGCTTATCAAGAGCGACTTACAGTTAGTGAATGCATACGTTTTTATTTATTAATTTTTATACTGGCCCCCTGTGGGAAACAAACCCACATCCCTGCCGGCCAAACCCTCCCCTACCTTGGACGACGCTGGACCAATTGTGCGCCGCCCATGGGTCTCCCGGTTGCGGCCGGCTGCGATAGAGCCTGGACTCAAACCAGGATGTCTAGTGGCACAGCTAGCACTGCGATGCAGTGCCTTAGACCACTGCTCCACTCGGGAGTTCCCTGGCAAGTCCCAGTCCTACCAGTAGATATCTGGAAGGCACCATGGGAGTTGACAAAGTACACATGTTAGGCTACTTACTAGTGGCTTGTGACCTTTCAATCAAAGTGATCAACTTCTCAGTGTGTTTCTGTGATTTCGTGTACAGTATGTGCTTGTCAAAGATCCTTTACTCTGTTCTCCATGTTCAAAGGTTAGTGTAAAACTCTTCATTGTGCAATGTCGCTCATGAATATGCATGAATTGCAGTTAAGTCGTAACGGAGGAAATTTTTACACAAATGTCTACGCACCGACAGAGAGCTCCTAGAACGATTTTAATACAGTAGGCTGTGATCTTTAAACTGGAAATGGCTTCCTAAATCCTTAAGAGCACCATATAATTAATATATGATTGGTGAGTAGTTTTTATTACTCCTTATATTGCCACTATGTAGCTAGTCACCTTGTCAAGTTCAGGGGTTTTATTACAACTTTAATGGATTATGATGAGTACAATCGTGATTAATGTTTTCTCGCTCTCCCACAGCCAGCTGTTGATTTTACCATCAGGGGGAGGCCGTATTTCCCTTTTGAGCGGCTACGGGAGTACATATGATTGGTAAATTGAGTTCACCGCTGAGATTGAATGCAGTGACCCCCATCGAACTCAAACACTGTAATGATTTCTTAAGCACACGCCATATATTTTGGAGCAGGACCGGAGGCGGAGTCGACGGTATGGACCGTAGGTCTGTCTGCAGAGCGAGAGCTGTGGCTATGGAATGCAAAGATGGGATTCGGATTGTTTAGAGGCTCTGCCACTGTTGGAAGCGGTTCTCTAATTATATAGTGAGTTTTGAGCACGTTTTTCCAAATGTGCTTGTCATGACATTAATTACGATTGTACTCATCATAATCCATTGAAGTTGCAATAGAACCCCTGAACTTCATGAGGTGACTTGCCACATGTACCTTTTTTCTACAAGGGTTGATTATTTTGATTGTGTAATCTGCCACAACAATGGGTCCACAATTCAGTAGGGACTTTCCAACAACAGGTTGTCTGTAGTGTATGGTCCTATAATGTGGCTGTGTGATTGCCGTTTTTACTGATTCAAATCGGTCTCCTTCATGTTAACGCATTTGACAAATGTCAACACTTGTCCGCGTTCATTCCTAGGGGTGAGTGAAAGATCACAGCATGTATGTGAAGAGGTGTGCAGCCAGCAAAAGGGAGAAGATTGAGGAGGGGAAAAAGATGGAGGGGGGGAAAGAGATGGAGGGGGGGAAGAGATGGAGGGGGGGAAGAGAAGGAGGGGGGAAAGAGATGGAGGGGGGGACAGAGATGGAGGAGAAAGAGATGGAGGGGGGAAGAGAGAGGGGAAAGAGATGGAGGGGGGGAAGAGATGGAGGGGGGAAAGAGAAGGAGGGAGGAAAGAGATGGAGGGAGGAAAGAGATGGAGGGGGGAAAGAGATGGAGGGGGGGAAAGAGATGGAGGGGGGAAAGAGATGGAGGGAGGAAAGAGATGGAGGGGGGAAAGAGATGGAGGGGAGGGAAAGAGATGGAGGGGGGAAAGAGATGGAGGGAGGAAAGGGGCCACATTACCCATAATCCAGTCACAGCTGTCTGGAGTTTGGCGACACCTCTACTGCAGGTTCCCTCTAATAGCTTGATTTTTCATGGCGGAAAACACCCTGCCACCACCGACATGATGTACGACAACATCTCTGTTTTCACCCCCAACCTCCCATTGCGCCGTTCCTGATCCCTCTTTCACTACAACCCCATGTCTCACATCTCTCGCTCTCTCACACTTTTCTCACACCTCTCTCTCTCGCTCAATCTTTTGCCTTCCAGTTTGACAAAGCATATGCCTACAGCATCCGCCACATGTTCGGGAAGGAAGGCAAGCGCACAGACTACACCCCCTACAGTTGCATGAAGGTGATTTTGTCAAACCCACCCAGCCAAGGCGACCAGCACGGTGAGGCATGGGCCTGGAGACGTGCTGCATGAAAAGGGTTATGTTTGCATGCAATACAGTTTTCCTATGAACCCAGTCATAGCAAATGCAAGGCATGTGTTTTGATTTCAATGTCTAATCGTTTGATGCATGCAAAAAAAACGATTGTCCTGGCATAGGAACTGGTCCCTCTGTTACGATGTTCTTCTGAGGCAAACCAATGTGGTTCATGTTATTGATAATATTATTTCAGCGGGTATTGTGAATCTACCATTCCCTCAGTTCAGATTTCTCTCTCTCTCCCCCATCTAACCCCCACCCCCTCCCTCTCCCTCTCTCCTCTCACTCTGTGACATGGTGGTTGCAGGGTGTCCATTCCGACACAGTGACCCAGAGCTGCTGAAGCAGAAGCTGCAGTCCTATAAGGTCTCCCCCAGCGGCATCAGTCAGGTGGGTTTGGCCCAGAACACAACACCCTCTCAGATCGCTGTTGTTAACCCATGGCACAATGCAACATCAGCTCACTGCAGTTGTCACTAATATGTTCAGACAATCTCATCTACATGATTTACTTTGTATTGATGAATCTAATTTAACCTGGTAGTCATATTGACATTTCTACTATCTTATTGACAATTAAAAAAATTAAATATATTTTATATATTAATAATAATAGACCAGTCCTAGATGCCAAAAAACAAACACACATTACAGACATAAAGTGAACAGTACAGTGTCATCAAAACTCAGGCTTACAAAAGTCAGACTCAAGCTGCTCCCCATGACAATACCAGAAAAATGGAAAGGAAGAAAGTTTCATTCTCTAAAAGTTAAGTGTACCATAGATTAGAATATGTATTCTGTACAGCGCAAAATGTAGATTGTCATCACACTTTATACAAGGTTGACTGATTTTTATTACACTAGGGAAAGTGAGGAATTAATTACTTTTTCCCAGATCTTAGTAAAACAATGCAGTTTTAATTTTTATACACCAGAAGCTGTTATCTGTTAACCATATTTTATCAAGTGTTTATTTAATACAGGTTTAACCAATTTTCTGAAGTCTAATTCGTTTCAGTTGACTTCAGGTGCAATTATCCTCAGGGATCGTTAGCCTCGTCAGTAGTGTTTGGGTAGTTTTAGCATTGATATCCTGCGTGCAGTTGAAACCTGCAGTGCTCCAGCCTAGAGCCCAGCTTTTATATACAATGGCTTGCGAAAGTATTCACCCCCCTTGGCATTTTTCCTATTTTGTTGCCTTACAACCTGGAATTAAAATGGATTTTTGGGGGGTTTGTATCATTTGATTTACATAACATGCCTACCACTTTGAAGATGCAAAATATTTTTTTCTAGTGAAACAAAGAAGAAATAAGAAAAAACTAAAAAACTGAAAACTTGAGCGTGCATAACTATTCACCCCCCCCCAAAGTCAATACTTTGTAGAGCCACCTTTTGCAGCAATTATAGCTGCAAGTCCCTTGGGGTATGTCTCTATAAGCTTGGCACATCTAGCCACTGGGATTTTTGGCCATTCTTCAAGGCAAAACTGCTCCAGCTCCTTCAAGTTGGATGGGTTCTGCTGGTGTACAGCAATCTTTAAGTCATACCAGAGATTCTCAATTGGATTGAGATCTGGGCTTTGACTAGGCCATTCCAAGACATTTAAATGTTTTCCCTTAAACCACTCCAGTGTTGCTTTAGCAGTATGCTTATGGTCATTGTCCTGCTGGAAGGTGAACCTCGGGCCCAGTCTCAAATCTCTGGAAGACTGAAACAGGTTTCCCTCAAGAATTTCCCTGTATTTAGCGCCATCCTTCAATTCTGACCAGTTTCCCAGTCCCTGCCGATGAGAGGTGTTGGGTTTGCGCCAGACATAGCGTTTTCCTTGATGGCCAAAAAGCTCAATTTTAGTCTCATTTGACCAGAGTACCTTCTTCCATATGTTTGGGGAGTCTCCCACATGGCTTTTGGCGAACACCAAACATGTTTGCTTATTGATTCTTTAAGCAATGGCTTTTTTCTGGCCACTCTTCTGTAAAGCCCAGCTCTGTGGAGTGTACGGCTTAAAGTGGTCCTATGGACAGATACTCCAATCTCCGCTGTGGAGCTTTACAGCTCCTTCAGGGTTATCTTTGGTCTCTTTGTTGCCTCTCTGATTAATGCCCTCCTTGCCTGGTCCGTGAGTTTTGGTGGGCGGCCCTCTCTTGGCAGGTTTGTTGTGGTGCCATATTCTTTCCATTTTTTAATAATGGATTAAATGGTGCTCCGTTGGATGTTCAAAGTTTCTGATATTATTTTATAACCCAACCCTGATCTGTACTTCTCCACAACTTTGTCCCTGACCTGTTTGGAGAGCTCTTTGGTCTTCATGGTGCCGCTTGCTTGGTGGTGCCCCTTGCTTAGTGGTGTTGCAGACTCTGGGGCCTTTCAGAACAGGTGTATATATATTGAGATCATGTGACAGATCATGTGACACTTAGATTTCACACAGGTGGACTTTATTTAACTAATTATGTGTCTTCTGAAGGTAATTGGTTGCACCGGATCTTATTTAGGGGCTTCATAGCAAAGGGGGTGAATACATATGCATGCACCACTTTTCCGTTATTTCTTTTGTAGAATGTTTTGAAACAAGTTATTTTTTTCATTTCACTTCACCAATTTGGACTATTTTGTGTATATCCATTACATGAAATCCAAATAAAAATCAATTTAAATTACAGGTTGTAATGCAACAAAATAGGAAAAACGCTAAGGGGGATGAATACTTTTGCAAGGCACTGCATGAGCAGCTCAGTTTAGTGTGATTACAGCTTTGACCGCCTCAGCATTCGTGTCTTTTAAAATGAATCGGGGCATATTTTCAGCTGCACTTTTTAAGCACTTTCAATGTGTTCTCTCAACACATTAAACTGGGTTCAATGGTGCATGTAATGAAATGAAGTTGTAAGGCCTTGCTGTTACGTTCTCATGGAGTTATGGACCTTTGGGACATTAATTTAATTCATGGTCCCCTGTTAATTGGGCCATAAAGTTCACTGTTTAAAGTCTGGTATGAAGAACATATACACGCAGCCTAACGTCCCCCAGTATACTCTAGAAATACAATGTCCCAAGTCATTTTGAAGTGTCCTGATAGGCAATGACATCTAACAAAGGTTTCAAAAATAAGAAAGTGTTTTTTGTGGTAATGTTTTCCTATTCTACCTTGACTAACACAATGCAGTATGAGAGAGCAACCTGAATTGGCAATATATTTTAATTAGAGTCTAGTAGTCATGTTATTGTGTATTTTCTGTGGAGATCTAGTTAGCGTATAACATGGTATACTACCGGATCAGTAATGTTAAGTCTAACTCTACTATTTGTATTTGTTGCATTTCCACATTTCTTTACTGAAAGAATTGACCATATACAACACTCATTTATATACCCATTATACCCATTTCAAATATTCCACACATTATTTCACACCAAAAGACCAGTCTAGACTTGAAATTGAGGGTTTGTATACAGCTCCTAGACATCTCTCTAGTGCATGTATTTTTTAGACTGTTGGAGGTCAATTCAGCATCTGTGAATGTTTTGAGTACTGGTCAAAGTAGCCTTTTCATACCCAGATATTTCTATGTATAGAAATCTATAGAAATATAATCTATTTCTATCTACAAATAATAATCTGTGTACCAAGCAATCTATTGAGGATAGGGAAGGACTAGAGGACAGAGTGCTAATTTAGGTGAACAGCCAACCCAAGGGGAGCTCATCTCTCTTCAAATTAAATGAATCATTTCTCCCATGTCCCCCTCAGCAACCCCCTATAGAATCTCCCTCTCTGGTACGAGTAAGTACTCTACTTTGAGCAGAGGACACACTGACACTGTTTGTGGTTCGGCCCAGGAGGCCAATGCATGCACCATAGAGGCCTCTGAGCAGAGAGACAAGCTATGTAGGCAGCATTATTAAATGTGAGAGACTGAATCCAAAGTGAGAGAAATCAGTGGGAAGTGATTAATATGCATAACATCGGCCCTCAGTCACCCAGTCTGCCTGGCACTGCCCAAACAGACACTGCAGACCACAGAGGCCAGACTCGCCAAACACTGACGTGACATTGCCCGCAATAAGAATGTGAGCTAACGAGTCTGTCCTTCAGATCAGAAGTCATTGGCAGTGCTTTCACCTTGGCACTTGGAGCAATAAACACTAGTCATGGGCACCAACATGGAAAGTCTGTCTATCAGTAGCATTTTGCCCAATATTATATCGATAAATGTTGGAATTAAAATGCACTGTGTGAATGGCAGAAGAGGCACCATAAAGCTTGATAGAAACGCTAATGTAATGCCCTAACTGGTGAAAGGCACCTCGGATGACACCATGCATGATTAATATACCATTTGATCCCCTCTACCACTAGGGGCTTTGTTGTGTGTGGCAGAAACCCCAGAAACACATTTGACAAGCAGGAAGTGGAACATTGGCGTTTAATCTCTCCTTAAGGTTGATAATGCATTTGTGCACCTGTCAAACGTGTTCACACCTCAGTGTACAGGATTGTATGGAGAGGAATACGGGGTGTACTGAGAGGAATACAGGAGTGTATGGAGAGGAATACAGGAGTGTATGGAGAGGAATACAGGAGTGTATGGAGAGGAATACAGGAGTGTATGGAGAGGAATACAGGAGTGCACTGAGAGGAATACAGGAGTGTATGGAGAGGAATACAGGAGTGTATGGAGAGGAATACAGGAGTGTATGGAGAGGAATACAGGGTTTACGGAGAGGAATACAGGAGTGTACTGAGAGGAATACAGGAGTGTACGGAGAGGAATACAGGGTTTACGGAGAGGAATACAGGAGTGTACTGAGAGGAATACAGGAGTGTACGGAAAGGAATACGGGGTTTACGGAAAGGAATACAGGAGTGTACGGAGAGGAATACAGGGTTTACGGAGAGGAATACAGGAGTGTACTGAGAGGAATACAGGAGTGTATGGAAAGGAATACGGGGTTTACGGAGAGGAAAACATGGGGTGTGGAATCACAATATCTGAAGGTCTGGGCCGGTTTCCCAAAAGCATCTTAAGGCTTGGTTCATCGTTAGGACCATAAGATTGAATGGTTTTAATATTAACTTAACCTCTAAACGTCTAAGGGGTGGGTGGGTTCTAAGCTGATGTATGGAATTGTTTTAAGATGGTCATACCATGGATCGTTTAGCTATTTGATTTGGACTTTTAGGACCCCTTTAGGTATCAAACAAAAATATATACACTACCAGTCAAAAGTTTGGACACACCTACTCATTCAAGGGTTTTTCTTTTTTTGGGACTATTTTCTACATTGTAGAATAATAGTGAAGGCATCAACACTATGAAATAACACATATGGAATCATGTAGTAACCAAAAAAGTGTTAAACAAATCAAAATATATGTTATATTTTATATTCTTAGCCACCCTTTGCCTTGATGACAGCTTTGCATGCTCTTGGCATTCTCTCAACCAGCTTCATGAGGAATGCTTTTCCAACAGTCTTGAAGGAGTTCCCACATATGCTGAGCACTTGTTGGCTGCTTTTCCTTCACTCTGCGGTCCAACTCATCCCAAACCATCTCAATTGGGTTGAGGTCGGGTGATTGTGGAGGCCAGGTCATCTAATGCAGCACTCCATAACTCTCCTTGGTCAAATAGCCCTTACACAACCTGGAGGTGTTGAAAAACAAATGATAGTCCTACTAAGCGCAAACCAGATGGGATGGCGTATCGCTGCAGAATGCTGTGGTAGCCATGCTGGTTAAGTGTGCCTTGAATTCTAAATAAATCACAGACAGTGTCATCAGCAAAGCACCCCCACACCATCACACCTCCTCCTCCATGCTTCACGGTGGGAACCACACATGCGGAGATCATCCATTCATCTACTCTGCATCTACTCTTGGAACCAAATATCTCAAATTTGGACTCATCAGACCAAAGGACAGATTTCCACCGGTCTAATGTCCATTGCTCGTGTTTCTTGGCCCAATCAAGTCTCTTCTTCTTATTGGTGTTGTTTAGTAGTGGTTTCTTTGCAGCAATTCGACCATGAAGGCCTGATTCACGCAGTCTCCTCTGAACAGTTGATGTTGAGATGTCTGTTACTTGAACTCTGTGAAGCATTTATTTGGGCTGGAATTTCTGAGGCTGGTAACTCTAATGAACTTATCCTCTGCAGCAGAGGTCACTCTGGGCCTTTCTTTCCTGTGGCAGTCCTCATGAGAGCCAGTTTCATCATAGCGCTTGATGGTTTTTGCGACTGCACTTAAAGAAACTTTCAAAGTTCTTGAAATGTTCCAGATTGACTGACCTTCATGTCTTAAAGTAATGATGGACTGTCGTTTCTCTTTGCTTATTTGAGCTGTTCTTGTCATAATATGGACTTGGTCTTTTACCAAATAGTGCTATCTTCTGTATACCACCATTACCTTGTCACAACACAACTGATTGGCTCAAACGCATTAAGATGGAAAGAAGTTCCACAAATTAGCTTTTAACAAGGCACACCTGTTCATTGAAATGCATTCCAGGTGACTACCTCAGGAAGCTGATTGTGCAAAGCTGTCATCAAGGCAAAGGGTGTCTACTTTGAAGAATTTGTTTAAATCTTTATTGGTTACTACATGATTCCATATGTGTTATTTCATAGTTTTGATGTCTTTACTAGTAAAAATAAAGAAAAACCCTGGAATGAGTAGGTGTCCAAACTTTTGACTGGACTCTAGGGGGTTTTAAGATGCTTTTGGGAAACCGGGCCCTGGTCAATAGCTTAAGGAAGAAAATAAAAAAAAGATGGTTGGGATTTTGTGCTTCACATTATCGTAACACAAACCCTCTAAATCACCTATTTTTGTTTGATATGTGCAAGTTCTCTCCCTCTTTTTATCATTGCTGTATTTAAGTGTCAAGCCATGGAATGTATTATTTCCAGTAATACTTGGAGCCTCACGTTAATGCCATGCTATGATGTTGCTCCATAATTGGCAACCGCAAAACACAAGGGCCTTAACACAAACGCTCCATCTATCATAGCAAATGTTAAATTTTTTCATTGTTGGTTAAGGGCTTGTAAGTAAGCATTTGACAAATAAAACCTGATTTTATTTTTATTTGAATTATTTCTGCAACTGCTTGTAGCTGCTAGCCAATGTTATTGGTCAACGTCAAAACCTCTCTTATGCAACATTCCTGTTTTATACAAATTATAATTAAAGATCTCTTTATAACTCCCAACACCTCTCATCTCTGTATTTCCCCTGCTTTCTTTCCTTCTTTTCAGATCCTGGAGTTGGTCAAGGGAATGCACTATCAGCTGGCCTGCCAGAAGTACTTTGTGCTGTCACACAGTGTAAGGACGCCTTTCATTTGGGGCAGGATGTAATTGGGGCGGCATGCCTGCCTTTGTGTGGGCCTGGGGGAGGACCCTGCAGCTCATGCATGAAGTCTCTGGAGGGGCCCCCAGCTCTGTAATCACATCCATCATTAGCTGTCATAGCCGTTTAAGTTGTATGGGTTTATTATGACACTTTAGATTAATTTAGCCCCTAATGAATATTTATTTGATCTAATGCCTTTTAGTGGAGGACCTTTTGGATCCGCAGTTTCAGTCACATTCAAGGTTATTAATATTCAATCCCTATTTAGGAGGGAGAATGTGGTAAAAAAAAAAAGATATGGTGTAACTTATTTTCATTCTTTGTCTGTGTGGGGTTGCTGTTATGCACGTTGATCATAGCTATTTCTCTTACATACCGGTAAATCTCGGGGTTTGGTCATGTTATTTTCTGCACGCTATAAAAGTGGTGATTTGGGAAGCGGGTCTCTCCCATACGTGTTGACAATTCGTCAGATTTTCCATGCTGCACTGTTCATTCTATTCAAATTGGAAGCTCGGCAGACTGACAGAATGAGAAGAGAGGTGGTGTTTTTAATTTTTCGGTGAGAAGGCAATAATCTAGAGATGTCAGTCAGGATTATCTCTAACACGTGCCCCTGTCCCTCAGCGTTCAACGCAGTTGAAGTGCCAGAATCCTGATGAGAATGTGGGCACGTTGCACCAAGATGTAAATGTTGACTATCTGCTATGTGACAGTTTAATTTGAGTCTGAGAAGGAGAGAAGGGAGCGGTCTTTGATGTGATGTGTTTGCCATCGCTCCACAACGCTACGGTGCAAAGTTTATTCAGATGCAGCTAATATCCTCAATCACATTTCAATCTGATAACCCAGGAAGGGTACATGTATAAGACTTTATACCTTAATCCCCAATATGTTTTAGGGGACAGATTTCTGATCAATCTGATTTAATAAGGTTTTAGACTACCTAGCCTTTTTTGGTTACTACCTATGTTCTTTTTGGTTAGTGTGAGAGTAAGAGCTAAAAGTCACTTTGAAAGTCGCTCCGATGAAAGTCACTTTGAAAGTCAGTCTGATGAAAGTCACTTTGAAAGTCGCTCCGATGAAAGTAACTTTGAAAGTCGGTCCGATGAAAATCACTTTGAATGTTGGTCCAGTGAAAGTCACTTTGAAAGTCGGTCCGGTGAAAGTCACTTTGCAAGTTGTTCTGGTGAAGTCACTTTGGAAGTCGGTCCGATGAAAGCCACTTTGCAAGTTGGTCCGGTGAAAGTAACTTTGGAAGTCGGTCCGATGAAAGTCACTTCGCTTCTTGAACAGGTAAAGGACACTATCTGCAGGGACCTAGCTACACACTTGGGTGGGTCACATTGTTCCTGTTTACCAGCCTAAATTATCTTTATTGGTTGAGGTAACACACAGCCTCCTACTGGCTTCAGCTCTACGTAACTTCTTTACAACAAAAGTTGCCTTACTTACAATACCAATATATCTAGACTAGATAGTCTCCCTAAGCTAGACCACCATTGCAATTCATCCCTTTGGTAATAAGCTTAAGGGTTATGATTCATATTTGTGGGGATTGTTTCTCCTCTCATTTAGTGTTGTAATATACGCACATTGTCACGGAGAAGGATTTCAATGCCTCTAAAGTGTTTTTCAGTGAATTCTGACTGACTCGTGAATTTATGAAATTCATGAGTCATATTTTAGTCCTGTCGTCCGAACTGCATGTTTGTGACATTTGTCATGACTTTCCCTCATGGGCTGAGGATCAAAGATGCCGTCTAGGCAAAGGTTTGAACACCCCCTTTTCTGGGGGCCAGTTTTATGACCGGTCGTACATTTCTTGCAGAAACTTTATTTTCCACGCCATGCAGTATTGGGAGAGGGAATTTCCATGTGAGACAAAGGAAGTCTTCCCGCCAAGACTCCAACATCCAAAAGTGGATAATGAAACAATATTCCTACTTAAAATAATGTGGGAAATGGTTGGTGGCGACTTAACGAACAATCATGTCAAATTCGTTACTATGTTGTGATGTCATTAAAGACGGTGGAACAACATAACTGTATCTCTGGGGGTGTACACTTCCCAGTTATGAGGTTTGCATCTAATTGTTGTATAAAACGAATGATTAAGTATAATAATACTTTTGTGAAGGTAACAATGTGATTTTAGCATTCTAGATGAGATGATTGTTCCCATATTGATTTGTTCTCAGTCAGTGGCCACGCCCAGATGAGCACAAACATGATGAAACGCCCCTTTTTCTACTCAAGTATAAAACCCCTCATGACAAAATTCACCTCAGACCGGTATAAGCCGGATGTTGCAAATGGTTGAATTTCTACAAGACCAAGCAGATTACAGTATAAGCCGGATGTTGCAAATAGTTGAATTTCTACCAGACCAGGAAGCGTGAAGCTGAAGCTACACATTACAAAATGGTTAGACCAGAAAGACCAGAAAACGTGAGATGTTAGTCCACACGTTTGAAATGGAGAAACTCTGAAACTCTCAACCTCTACACAAGGTGAAGAAGAAGACAATGCACTAGACCTTATCATCTCAGTCTGCAGCTGGCATGTATAGTCATCTAGAGAACTTACACTAAAGACATAAATTGGAAAGGACAATCCCTCTCAGACAACTGCTGGTACATCTGAAGTATCTATTCTAACAGATCAACTCTACGAACTACAGGGTACGCTGAAGAAATCATTCTAACCACTACTATGACCAGAAACTCTACCAAGGACATTGGGATCTCTGGTGGGCAAACCAGAGTCCTAGGGCGGCAGGTAGCTTAGTGGTTAAGAGCATAGTGCCAGTAACCGAAAGGCCGCTGGTTCTAATCCCCGAGCCGACTAGGTGAAAAATCTGTCGATGTGCCCTTGAGCAAGGCACTTAACCCTAACTGCTCCTGTAAGTCGCTCTGGATAAGAGCGTCTGCTAAATGACTAAAAAAAAAAAAAAAAAAAAAAAAAAAAAAAAAAAAAAAAATCAACTCAACTATCTAGGACAGCTACACGTAAATACAAGTTGCATTTCTAATCTGAATGAACAATGATTAGGGTTCTAAGCATTTGTATTTCCGTGTGCGTAGTTTACAAAGTAACAACGATAGTTTGAATCTCTGTCTCTCCCTTCCAAGCATTCATGTTATTGTTAGTCCAGTCCACTAGGGACCTGTTTTCATTTTATTAGATTAGTAATCAATAACCTGTGTGTGTGTGTGTGTTTGTATTGTGTTATTATTTAGTTAGTTAGTAAATAAATAATTAAGCCAATTTGTGTATTGCGGATTCATCAATAAGGTTAGGGTTCTTGCAGGTTCAAGGATTATGCATCGTTCAGAATGAGACTGATAATAGGTAATTATTTAATAAGAGACTGTTATCGATATATAACATATATATATATCTTCAAAGAGTTTAATTCAGGAGATGGTAACTCGTTAAACAACATCTTCCGTGCTGCCCCAAATTCCTAATGAGTTAATTGTTACATGATTAATTTAATCGAGTGACAATTAAACATAGTTAGTTGATTCGATAAATAAGTCATACATATTAATATAAGTCACGTCACGTCACATTAATACGCAAAGCATAGCTGTTTTGTGTGGGGGGTCTGGGCCATCCCCTGAATCTACGGACACTCATCTCTAAATGCTCCAGTCATCATGGGGCACAAAGACGACCAACTCATTTCCCCCTTACCTGCGACTGGGAGAATTCAATCTCTGCCACATGCCCTACCTGGTTCCAGATCTGTTGGTTTGTACAGATAGATCACAGTCATTCCTCCCTCCTTGGCAGCGTTTATTAAAGGTCAAAATATAATACTTCACCGATTAAATATTTACACAGGGGCGATAAATTAAACAATAGAAAGAGTAATGCAATGGCATCCAGTGGAGCGCGCTCCGATATGCTTCACCTCGGATTACGGGAGGGGGGGGGGGGGGGGATGTGCTGCATCGAAATCATTCAAAGATTGATTTGTTTCTGGTCTCTGTTTCGGATTGTTTCATATTTATGCATTTTGTCATTTTTCAGAAGGCTGAGTGCTGTTTGCTGTAATGTGGAGACACTGAGACAGATCAGGGTGAAATGGACACAGCTCTCTACTCGTGAAACCTGTGGCTCTGGAGATGTTTCCCCCATTCCTTAAAAAAATAAAAATGTGTTTACTGGACAGACCGTGAACAGAGACAGGATAGTAAGCAGGAGAGATAATATATTTTTTTTCTTAGATCAATACTGAATTTGTTTCTTTGATTCTTGTTTTTGTAAGAAGTCTATTTATAGATATGTAGGCGTACATCACTGGACCCAGTGGACACCCCCGCTGGTTCCAATACGGTCTAGTAGTTAGCTAGAATTTGCCTAGCTAGACAAAGGAATCGGACAATGATCAAGATGATGGTAGGAGAGAGAGACTAATCAGGGAGACTTCAAAGCCGGTGTGTTCCATCCCAATCACACAGCCTGGCTTAAAAGATGAGGGCGGAATTGGATCAGTTCACTACACCAGTACAATGCAGTTAGTAAAAGAACTGAAGCAGAGTTTTCTTTCTAACATGTCTGTCAAAGCTGACCATCGCTATTCTGTCTAGCTCATTAACATTTGAACCAGTATTATTTTTACCGTCTGACACCTTACAAAACTTTTTTCTGTTGTGTGTTGTCAGATTGAGGACTCTGGGTTCTCGCTCCTTCACCCCAACCAGTCCTTACATTTTAGTCATTTAGCAGACGCTCTTATCCAGAGCGACTTACAATTAGTGAGTGCAGAGAGCCAGAAGCTGCTAGGTGGTCCTGGGGCTGGGGTGGAGGTGAAGTGGGAGGACAACCCCGCCACCAAACCCCCCAACACCCCGCCACCAAACCCCCCAAAACCCAGCCACCAAACCCCCCAACACCCCGCCACCAAACCCCCCAACACCCCGCCACCAAACCCCCCAACACGCCCTCTTGACAGACAACAGGACCAGGGAACCTCTCTCAGGTGGCGGCAGCAGAAATGACAGAGGACCTGGATTCTTTCTTCCAAGATGTCTGACATTGTCTTACTCATCCCTGTTCACATTTCCCCACTGTCATTTTGAATAAAGCTCCCATCCAACATTTTATTATTTACAAAGAGTAATGATTTTCTATACTTTTCTAAAAAAGTTTAATTTAGCTTCTGTTTTACCTCCACATGTAGGTAGTCATAAAGTTGAATAATATGAAGATCTCCTCTTTTGTGGTTATTTGTTGGTTGACAAATGCAATACAATACCAATCAAAAGCTGAATCTTGACCTCAACCTCAATCTTGGGATTTACCGACAGTAGAACTTCAATTCTCAAACCTAAAACACATTGGAGCGGTTGGATGCTTTTTGAAGTTCATTACTGTGATGGATCTTCATAAAACTGACATTGGTACAATTCTGTTTATTTTTAAATAATCTGTCTGGGAATGGTATTGCATCAGTTTGTTCTCTTCTTCGTAGCCTAGCCAGGTTTAAACAACAATGGCTTATCGTGTCACGGTTCAGACAGACGACCAGAGGACCACAATTGCGTCACACCAGAAAGTTTATTAAAACTTAAGGGAAAAGGGAAGTAGGGAGTGAATGAAGGCTCCAGGGGTAACAGGGATCCCGTCCAATGTGCTGGGTCTGTGCCCCCCCCAGTGGCAGCGATGCGTCCTATGAAGCCGGTGGTGGGTGGTCCAGAAGTCCTGGGGGGGGGAGACACAGACACAACAGGGCGGAATGAAACAAGGCAGCAGTACAGTTCAAGGGAAATCCAAAATACGTAGTAGCAAGGCAGAAGGCTGGTCAGAGTTACCGGGAAAGAAGAGTAGTCAGGAGTCGTTATGGCAGAAGCAGGTCTGGATCTCCTGGGGCAGAAGAGTATCCAAAAATCAGGCAGGTCCGGGGTCACAAAACCAGGGTGAGCCAGAAGCGCGAGCAAACAGGTTCCGGGTGTGAGCTTTGCAGACGATCTGACACCGGAGAGCTGAAAGACAGGGCCTTAAATACTGGGAGAGGTAGTGGGTAATGCAGCGCAGCTGGCAGAGTAATTAGAGCAGAGCAGAGCAGGGACAGGTGGAGCTAGTTAGGCTGAGTAGAGAGAGTGGTGAGCAGAGTGGAAGAAAATTAAGGTGGTAACCCGGTGGAGTGAGAGGCTCATGACAGAACCCCCCCCCCCAAGGGACGGCCCCAGAAGTCCCAAGAGCAACACCACGCCGGGCGGGAGGAGGGGAGCCGGAGGAGGGCTAGAACTCCTCCGAACGGTCCGAGTGAACGTCCTCATCCTCGGAGGAAGCCGGAGGGCCGTGGTCGGGAGATGGGACAGGTCCCGAGACAGGATCAGGCACAGGACAGGAAGCCGAGCGGGCAGGACGGTTAGGGACCCCTCTGGGGCGGCCCCTACGGATTGCAGGTTGATCAGGATGCCGTTGGTGGAAAGCGGTGATGAGAGTCCTATCCACAATCCGACTAGCTGGCACCCAGGTCCTTTCCTCAGGTCCATAGCCCTCCCAGTCAATGAGGTACTGGAGACCCCTACCCCTCCGTCTGGACCGAAGCAGGCGGCGGACGGTGTAAACCAGACCACCATCGACGAGCCGTGGAGGAGGAGGACAAGGCGCAGCAGGGACCAGCGGACTCTCATGGATGGGCTTAATCTTAGACACATGGAAAGTGGGGTGCACCCTCAGGGAATTAGGCAGTTGGAGCCGGACAGCAGTTGGGCTAATCACTCTTATGATAGGGAATGGGCCAATGAACCGAGGTGCCAGCTTCTGCGACTCCACCCTGAGTGGCAGGTTCTTCGATGACAACCACACCCTTTGACCAACATGGTAGGTGGGAGCAGGAATTCTCCGACGGTTGGCCCCGGTAGTGTAGCTGGCAACGGATCTGAGGAGTGTGGCTCGGGCTTGTGACCAGGTGCGGCGACATCGACGGGCAAAAGCAAGTGCAGATGGGCAAGTAACCTCCTCTTCCTGGCTGGCAAATAGAGGAGGCTGGTATCCATAAACTCATTGGAAAGGGGACATACCGATGGCAGAGCAGGTCAGAGAATTGTGTGCGTACTCCACCCATGTCAATTGCTGCGACCAGGAGTGGGGGTTGCGTGAAGTCATGCATCGCAGTGCCTTCTCGAGCTCCTGATTAGCCCGCTCTGACTGCCCATTGGATTGGGGATGGAATCCGGAAGTCAGACTGACTGTGGCTCCCAGCAGGTGACAGAACTCCTTCCAAAAAGCGGAGGAGAATTGTGGACCACGGTCAGAAACTACATCCTTTGGCAGTCCGTGGATCCGGAAGACGTGTTCCAGGACCACCTGGGCGGTCTCCTTGGCGGTTGGGAGCTTGGGGAGGGGAATGAAGTGTGCCATCTTGCTGAAACGGTCCACTATGGTGAGAATGACGGTCATGCCACTTGAAGGGGGCAGCCCCGTGACAAAGTCAAGGGCGATGTGAGACCAGGGACGTCTGGGCACAGGCAGGGGCTGCAGCAATCCGGCTGGGGGCTGGCAGGACGACTTGTGTTGGTTGCAGATGGGGCAGGCTTGGACGAATTCCCGTACATCCTTCCTCAGAGAGGGCCACCAGAACCTCTGGGCGAGCAGGTTGTAAGTGCGGGTGGAGCCAGGGTGACAAGCTAGGCGGGAGTCATGTCCCCACTGAACGACCTGGGACCTCAGGTCTTCGGGGACAAAAAGGCGGTCAGCTGGGCAAGTGCTGGGACCTGGCTGGTTACGGAGAGCCTCCAGCACCTGTTCCTCAACAGCCCAGGTCAGAGCTGCAACGATGCAGGGACTTGGCAGAATCGACACAGGGTCCTTGGAGGGGGTGTCATCCTTCTGGAATTGACGGGAGAGGGCGTCTGGCTTGGTGTTGCGTGATCCAGGCCGGTATGACAGAGTGAAATTAAACCTGGTGAAGAACAGGGCCCAGCGGGACTGCCTGGAGTTCAACCGTTTGGCCGTGCGGATGTACTCCAAGTTCTTATGATCGGTCCAAACGAGAAATGGAATGGTGGACCCCTCCAGCCAGTGACGCCACTCCTCCAAGGCAAGCTTCACAGCCAGCAGCTCACGGTTCCCTATGTCGTAATTGCACTCAGAGGGGGACAACCGACGTGAGAAAAAGGCACAGGGATGGAGCTTCCTATCCTCCGCAGCCCACTGAGAAATCACAGCACCAACTCCCACATCCGAGGCGTCCACCTCCACAATGAATTGCCGGTCCACATCAGGCATCTGGAGGATGGGAGCGGAGGTGAACCTCACCTTGAGGGTACTGAAGGCTTTGTCGGCTGCTGGGGTCCAGGTGAAGGGTTGCTTGGTGCTGGTTAGAGCAGTGAGAGGGGCAGCAACGGTACTGTAGTTCCGGATAAACTTTCTATAGAAGTTAGCAAACCCCAGAAACTGTTGCAGCTTCTTTCTGTTCTCCGGAACTGGCCATGAAGTGACTGCTGATACTTTGGCAGGATCCATTTGGATACTTCCCTCTGCCACTATGTACCCCAGGAAGGCCACTGTCTTGACGTGAAACTCACATTTCTCTGCCTTGGCGTAGAGGGAATTCTCCAGAAGACGATGAAGGACTTGCTGGACATGGCGGGTGTGTTCAGACAGGTTTCTGGAGTAGATTAAGATGTCATCCAGGTAAACAAAGACAAACTTGTTTAACATGTCCCGCAGTACATCATTCACTAGAGCCTGGAACACAGCAGGAGCATTGGTGAGGCCAAAAGGCATAACCAGATACTCGTAGTGGCCTGTTGGTGTATTGAATGCGGTTTTCCATTCATCTCCCTCCCGGATCCGCACTAGGTGGTAAGCGTTTCTGAGATCCAACTTGGTAAAAACAGTGGCTCCCTGGAGCAACTCAAAAGCAGAGGTGAGCAGAGGCAGAGGGTAACGGTTTTTTCACTGTGATGTCGTTGAGTCCCCTGTAGTCGATGCAGGGGCGAAGAGATCCGTCCTTCTTCCCCACAAAGAAGAAGCCAGCACCAGCAGGAGATGAAGATGAACGGATTAATCCTGCGGACAGAGAGCCATTGATGTAGTCCTCCATGGACTTTCTTTCAGGAGCAGACAACGAATAAAGACGACCCTTTGGAGGGGCTGTTCCAGGGAGGAGGTCGATGGCACAGTCGTACGGTCGGTGAGGGGGCAGAGATGTGGCTCTTGCTTTGTTAAACACCTCTCTGAGACCATGGTAGCATTCTGGGACATTGGAGAGGTCAGGAGCGGAGTTAGTAGGTACTGGCCGAGGGGGTAGTGCGGCAGCAAGCAGGCAGGTTCGGTGGCAGTCCTCTCCCCACTCCCTGATCACCCCGGTCACCCAGTCGAGCTGAGGGTTGTGCCGGCGGAGCCATGGGTAACCCAGGATGAGGGGTTGGCCTGGAGAGGGGAGCAGGTGAAACTGGATAGTTTCTTGATGGTTTCCGGACAGACCCATCGAGACCGGGGCCGTGACATGAGTGACCGATCCGAGTAAGTGTCCGTCCAGTGCCCGGGCAGGAATAGGAGGTGTCAAACGGAGGTTCTCCAGTCCCAGTTGGCGTGCCAGCTTGATGTCCATTATGTTGGCTTCGGCGCCAGAATCCACCAGAGCAGCCAGGGTGTGAGTTGAGTCAGAGAGGCGGAGGTGAACTTGCAGCAGGGGTTTGCGGTCGGAGGACTGGATGGTCATTGAACTCAACCGGACTCCCCCTATGCCCGGTGAGCTTCGGCCCTTTAAAGGGCAGGTTACCACACGATGTCCATCACCTCCACAATAGAGGCAGAGGCTTGAGGTGAAGCGGCGCTGGCGCTCTGCAGGAGTGAGAGAGGCTCGCCCAATCTCCATAGGCTCAGACTGATCAAGCTGACCTGGGTGAGTGGCAGTAGATGACAGGGGCCCAGTCGGATCTCTCCGAATGCCGGTAGTAGGTGGACCTTGGCGCCCCCTCTCACGACGACGGGTCTGTATCCTTCTGTCGATCCTGACAGTCAGTGCGATGGCTTCATCAAGAGTGGAAGGCAGTTCATGGGAGACCAACT